AATGAACAAATAACACCAACATCAACACCTACACAAAAAAGAAAAGAGACAAAAAGAAAATCAAATTTATTCACAGTAAGAAATTTTGTCCTATTGTCATGCATCAATGCATACATATATATATATACTCTTTTGTCTATTATGTTCAATTATACTTTATCTATAGTTTCTTCTCGTCTCGATAGACTCTATATATATATATATATATATTCTTTTGAATAATTTATTAATTCAAAAGCTTTTAGATAAGAATATAACTCATAATTTGACTATTATATAATCGTATTGTCAAATTTATTTTGAGAAATATGCAGGGTGTGCTGGTTGTCGATAATAAACATCGATAAAAAAAATGTTTAAAATAATTATCAGTATTGATATGAAAATTTCGTCAAGAGTATAGTACGCATGTCGTGAGAACAAACTTCAGCTTGGTTATTTCTAGTTAAAAAGACAGTAATGAGGCGTTGTCAATGGGTGCATCCTATTTTGTAGCAGTGGATTGAAAAGTCTTGTTCCATTATATTTCTTGAAATAACATAATTATTGGATTAGTTACTCAAACGAGTAACCATAGTTACCTGTTTGTATTATAAGACATTTTACGTATTCTTTTTATTTTAGCCTGGAAAAAAAGACGAAGATAAAAATAAATCAGATCGACTCGGTCACGGCCGCGCAATACCAATTAAACAGGTTTGTATTTAAAATATTCTTCTTAAAATATCTATTATATTTCATCAACTTCTTTTTTAGGGTTTCCTATATAAAAAAGGCACGAACAGTATTAATCGAGATTGGAAAAAGAAATATGCTGTTTTATTAGATGACGGTCGAATTATTTATCATCCATCATTCCATGTAAAATTTCTTTTTAGCTATCTAGAAGAAGAAAAAAAACCAAATTTTCTTTTTTTTAGGATTATGAAAATGATTCTCATGGCAAAGAAATAATTCTTCAACGTACAACAATTAAAATTCCTGGTTCTAATAAACCTCGTGTTGCTTTACGTAGTTCAAGCAACGATAATAAATTAAATGATGTTACATCAACAGATTCAATATCCACTACAGCAGGCAAAATTGAAACACCAAATGCAAAAAAACGTCATCGTCGTCTACAACAATCTAATACACCTAATTCAACAAATAATTCAACAACATCAAAATCAACATCAAACACAAATGGTGGTGATGATGATGGAGATGAAAATGTTTTTATTATTGTATCATTGGATAAACAATGGTTTTTTGAAGCACAATCAAATGAAGAACGTGATGAATGGGTACAAGCTATTGAACAACAAATTTTATTTAGTTTACAAAATATTGAATCATCAAAAGCAGCACGAGCCGGTAAAACTGGTGGAACAACTATTGCTGATTCAGCGTCAGTACAAGCTATTAAACATATACCTGGAAATGGTTTTTGTGCAGATTGTGATCAACTAAGTAAGAAAAATATTCACTTCATTTTATATTTAAGATAGTTGAATCCTATGAATATATATATTCTTTTTCTAGATCCAACATGGGCTTCATTAAATCTTGGTGCTTTAATTTGTATGGATTGTGCATCTTTACATCGAAATCTTGGAACACATTTATCACGTGTTCGATCACTTGAATTAGATGAATGGCCGTAGGAATATTTTTTTGATTAAATTCATATAAAGTATACTTTTGATTTTGTAATAGACCGGAACTTGTACAAGTAATGCGTTCAATTGGAAATAAATTAGCAAATACAATATGGGAAGTAAATATAAAAAATCGTGTTAAACCTCAACCAAATGCTTCATCGTATGTTCTAATTATTGATTTTTTATTTTATTTACTTGAATTTTGTTATTTAAGATCTGAACGTGAACGATGGATAAGAGATAAATATGAGCAAAAACTATTTGTTGCACCATTACATATTTTACCTAATCAAGCACGACAAACACTGATTGAATCTATAACTAAAGAAGATTTGTATACTATTATACTTCTATTAGCACATAGAAAAGTAACAATAGACGAGATTAATTCTTCATTATTACATCTAGCTGCTATGCAAGGAAATGTTACCATTCTACAACTTCTACTTTGGGTAAATTAAAAATTTTAAAATTTTCAGAATGACTTTGTTCTCTGTTTTCTTGAAAAGCAGAAAAATGATCAGATCTTCTTTTGCCTATTAATAAAACTAATTCTTGTTTTAGTTTGGTGCTGATCCATTTATAACAGATACGAATGGTCGTACACCACTTCAATGTGCAAATGGTGATTGTATTCGAATACTTCAAACATTGACTAATAATCAAACTGATTTTCAACAACAACAATTAAAACAAACAATAATTTCTCCGCAACAAAGTACGCTATCTCGTCAACAACGACCACCAGCGTCATCTCCTGCACCACCCTATGATAAACTTCCATCGACTGTTATTTAAATTCTATTTATGTTCAGATATACATTTGTATTGTCTCGTGTCTATGGTGCGATCTTTTATGTTCTCTTATTTGTGCAATTTTCTCATATTTTTTAGATCTGAAAATGTTTGTTTGTTTTTTTTCTTCTCTTTTCCCATTTTTATCATTAGCATGTGTTCTTTTTTGTAATATTTTGACGTTCCGTGCTCTTATTTGTTTGTCTTCG